TTATTACTATAAACGAAGAAAAAGTATAAGGTGTGGATCGAATAATTTATAGAAGGAAAATAAAAAGTTATCTGTTTCCTCACCGAAGATTCTAAGAATTCAATAATATGATCAACAATTAACAGTATTAAGAGTAGTGACCAGAATAAAGAGAGGGTGGGTGGGCGGGCCTACTGCTTGCCTATGAAATACTCTCTAGGAATAACATAAACTTAGCCCCGCCCACCCACCCGTCCTCTCATTTTTCCTTCTGAAATAAGAAATCTCTCTTATAACAAATAATACAACAAAAAAGTTACGATTGGCATTTTTTCTGAGAAGACGTAAATTGACCTTTAGCAAAATTCTATATGTTAATCTTCTCCAGGAAATTGGTGACAACATCTTAGAAAATTGTTAGATAATTGTTGAATTTCAGAACGATATTTTTTACATTACATATAATAAAAATAAAATGTATGAAGAATTGATTGTGCGTCAGATGCGAAGAATGTTCTTTCTTAGTAATTTCAAACCAATTTTTAACCGTCTCTGGGTTTATCCCATTTATCTGTTTTCTCACCAGCGGTTTAATAGATTTGCGGAAGATTCTAATAAGACAATAATATTGTCAATAATTCACAGTATTAAGAGTAGTGACCAGAATGAAGAGAGGGTGGGTCGGCGGGCCTACTGCTTGCCTATGAAATACTCTCTTGGAAAAAATTAAATTTAGCCCCGCCCACCCACCCGTTCTATCATTTTTTCTTCTGAAATAAGAAATCTCTCTTATAACAAATAATACAACAAAAAAATTACGATTGGCATTGTTTTTGAGAAGACGTAAATTGACATTTAGAAAAATCCTATATGTTCATCTTCTCCAGAAAATTGGTGACATCTTAGAAAATTGTTAGATAATTGTTGAATTTCAGAACGATATTTTTTACATTATATATAATAAAAATAAAATGTATGAAGAATTGATTGTGCGTCAGATGCGAAGAACGTTCTTTCTGAGTAATTTCAAACCAATTTTTAACCGTCCCTGGGTTTATCCGATTTATCCGTTTTCTCACCAGCGGTTTAATAGATTTGCGGAAGATTCAAATAAGGCAATAATATTGTCAATAAATAACAATATTAAGAGTAGTGACCAGAATGAAGAGAGGGTGGGTGGGCGGGTCCACTTACCATTCCCACTCTACACAGGGACATAAAACTTACCCCGCCCACCCACCGGCCTCCATTTCGGTGATTAATTTTATAATAAAAAAGTGCTACCAAAATTTATTGCAGCAGAAAGAAGACGAAATTCATTGTTTAAAATAAAAAATAACAGTTTAAATTTAGAGAATTTAAAAATTAATAATAAACTGTTCAAAGCTTTGGTTGGTTTAGACTATTTACATTTATATTTTATATTTTTTCCTTATCGCACATTTTATTTTTTCTATTTTCATCTCATGTCTCATTAACTTGTGTTGTAGTTATATAAACGAAGAAAAAACCCATGAAATATAAAGTGTAGATCGAATAATTTATAGAAAGTAAATAACAATTTATCTGTTTTCTCACTAAAGGTTTAATAAAATTGCTGAATATTCTAATAAGATAATAATATGTCAATAATTAACAGTGTTGAGAGTTGTCACCAGAATAAAGAGAGGGTGGGTGGGCGGGCCAACTTCTTAAATATAAAAGACTCTATAGGAAGAAGTTAAACTTAGCCCCGCCCACCCACCCGTTCTATAATTATTTTTCCTCTGAAATCAGAAATAAATCTTATAACAAATAGTACAACAAAGTAGTTACGATTAGCCCTTTTTTACCGCCTAGTTTCTATCAGTTACTTACCATTCCCACTATACACAGGAACATAAAACTTACCCCGCCCACCCACCCGCCTCCATTTCGGTGATTAATTTTATAAAAAAAGTACTATCAAAATTTATTGCAGAAGAAAGAACACGAAATGTATCGTTTAAAATAAAAAAATAACAGTTTAAATTTAGAGAATTCCAAAAATTAATAATAAACTGTTCAAACTTTTGGTTGGTTTAGACTATTTACATTTATATTTTATATTTTTTCCTTATCGCACATTTTATTTTTTCTATTTTCATCTCATGTCTCATTAACTTGTGCTGTAGTTATATAAACGAAGAAAAAACCCTTGAAATATAAAGCGTAGATCGAATAATTTATAGAAAGTAAATAGCAATATATCTGTTTTCTCACCAAAGGTTTAATAAAATTGCCGAAGTTTCTAATAGGATAATAATATGTCAATAATTAACAGTATTGAGAGTTGTCACCAGAATAAAGAGAGGGTGGGTGGGCGGGCCAATTGCTTAAATATAAAAGACTCTATAGGAAGAAGTTAAACTTAGCCCCGCCCACCCACCCGTTCTATAATTACTTTTCCTCTGAAATCAGAAATAAATCTTATAACAAATAGTACAACAAAATAGTAATGATTAGCCCTTTTTTACCGCCTAGTTTCTATCAGTTACTTACCATTCCCACTCTACACAGGAACATAAAACTTACCCCGCCCACCCACCCGTCTCCATTTCGGTGATTAATTTTATAAAAAAAATGTACTATCAAAATTTATTGCAGCAGAAAGGAGACGAAATTTATCGTTTAAAATAAAAAAATAACAGTTTAAATTTAGAGAATTCCAAAAATTAATAATAAACTGTTCAAACTTTTGGTTGGTTTAGACTATTTACATTTATATTTTATATTTTTTCCTTATCTCACATTTTATTTTTTCTATTTTTATCTCATGTCTCATTAACTTGTGTTGTAGTTATATAAACGAAGAAAAAACACTTGAAATATAAGGTGTAGATCGCATAATTTATAGAAAGAAAATAACAATTTATCTGTTTTCTCACCAAAGGTTTAAAAAAATTGCGGAAGATTCTAATAGGATAATAATATGTCAATAATTAACAGTTTTGAGAGTTGTTATTTTTTTTCTGAAATCAGAAAAAAATCTTATAACAAATAGTACAACAAAATAGTTATGATTAGCCCTTTTTTTCCGCCTAGTTTCCATCAGTTACTTACCATTCTCACTCTAAACAGGAACATAAAACTTACCCCGCCCACCCACCCGCCTCGAGTTCGGTGATTAATTTTATAAAAAAAAGTACTATCAAAATATATTGCAGCAGAAGGAAGACGAAATTTATTGTTTAAAATAAAATAATAACAGTTTAAATTTAGAGAATTTAAAAATTAATAACAAACTGTCCAAAGTTTTGGTTGGTTTAGACTGTTAATATTTTATATTTTCCTTATTACACCTTATATTTTTTGTATTTTCATCTGATTTGCCATCAACCTATGTTGTACATGTAATATGGCGAATAAAACATCATTATCACTATCACTATAAACAAAAAAAAACTTAGAAATATATGGTGTACCTAGATCGAATATTTTATAGGAGGAAAATAACAATTTGTCTGTTTTCTCACCAAAGGTTTAATAAAATTGCCGAAGATTCTAATAAGAAAATAATATGGTCAATAATAATTAACAGTATTAAGAGTGGCCACCAGAATGAAGAGGGGGTGGGTGGGCGGGCCTACTGCTTTCGTATAAAAGACTCTCAACGAAAAAGTTAAATTTAGCCCCGCCCACTCACCCGTTCTCTCATTTTTTTTCTTCTGAAATAAGAAATAAATTTTATAACAAATAGTACAACGAAAAAGTTACGATTGGCGCTTTTTTTTTGAGAAGACGTGAATTGACATTTAATAAAATTGTTTATGTTCATCTTCTCCAGACATTGTGTCTGGATTTATCCTTCATTTATGACGATGTCATTAACACAATTTTTTCCTTTTATTTATTCATTAGTTTTTTCATTTCTTCCAAAAATATGTTATATCTTTCACATGTCCGATTCCGGTCAGGGAAGTCAACACAACTAACAAACCCTTAACTCAGTTTTTTCTCTCAACAACATCCACCACCCAATAACCACCCTTTCACGCTTCGTCTCCCAACCACCCCCAAAACAACTCATATCCTCAGAATAAAGGGTTGCGACGGCCGCACGAAACCAGCGAAACACGAGCTTAAATCCTGCTAGGGCTACCGAAATTGACCTACCCTCTTTTTCCCTGCGGCTGAGGGTGGATCTTGCTGAGTTTCATTTTCGCTAAGCTTAGGTACAATCAATTATGGGTTAGATGTGTAGCAGGATTTTGCGTTAATCTGGGATACTTCATTACGAAAACAACCCCAGTGATTGAAAGGGAGCTGATTCGGCTCAAGTTCGCGCGCCCCTGGAGACCCCGAGATCCACTCAAGGTAGCTAAGTGGATGAAACCGAAACCGTAAAACTAGTGTTGGTGGATCTTTAAGAAAAAATGTATCTGTTTTACTTGATTTTCAATTAAGAACGTCATTATGTTGAAATTGGATTATATGCACCGATAAACCGCCCCATCTTTAAAATCGACCGCCGTCATTAATTTAGCAAATTAGATTGTGAAACAACTGAAAATAAAAGGAGGAGGAATAATTTCATTGTCCAATAACGGCCAGCCGAGCTTGAAACGCACAGAGCGAAATTAGATAACCGTACTTTTAGCAGAGAGAACGAATGTTGGTGGATAATACACAAAAGAGTAACTAGAATAGAGGTGGGTTCAAATTAACAGTTGCATGATGCAACGACAAGGATTTTCAAACGAAATTCGGCCGTGGCGACACCTACAGATGGATGCTTGAAGCGTGGCTGAAAATCAATACAGAGGGTGAATGTTGAGCGTCATGTAGGGGTGGTGGTGTAAATAATTCAGACTGGTTTTTAATTTTAAATAAAGTTTTGTTGTTTCTCACGATAGTTTAAATTGTTTTTTGTCACACGAAATGACTCTCCAGTGGCAAGTCTAGATGAAACACTCTGTACATAAGAGAAGGTGTTTGTATAATGTGTTGCCTAACGCTACTAGGGTGTTTGACATTTCGGTGACTATGATTGGTATTAGTTATATTGGCAGCACTCAAGTTAGCCAAAATGCGTAAAAACGAAACTCGTGTGACATTGTGCCAGTCGAGACGTTAGTGGGTGCTATTTTAACTCGATTTGAGTCTTTTCGTGAAATAGAAACCGCTGAAAGCCGATTTTTTCACAATTAAAGGTAACTTCACCCACAACTGTCACTCTCCAGCGCCAACTTCGGGTCTATGCGTCGTCGCCATTTTGAAACTTGAGATCACAAGCCTGTTATTTACACTCGAAAATCGCAAAAATTGTTGTTATTTGGGCGAAGAACGATGAATTCCCTCGTTAATTATGGAAGCGACGACGACTACGACGACTCCTCTGAAGAAAAACAAACGGTAAAGAATTTTTTCATAAGTTTCGTGGTCGACACCCACCACACTTAAATTTAGAATTTTTTCTTAAAACAAAGGCAAATTCCATTAAAACCGCGTAAAGTGACGTCAACGTAATGGAATCTGCACGTATTGTTAGTGTTTACTGTTATTAACAAATTATTTGCCAAAGTAGTACGATCATCATCGACCTTGCTTAACAGGACTGGCGTGGGACTTCCGCCAAGGACAAGCAGGGCTCCTCGGGCCGCCAGACCGACACCAACTACGAAGAAGTGCAAATGGACCTGAGCGAGGTAAAGTAACTTTGCGGATGTCTCCTTAAGACGACTCAGTATTTTTAAACTCACTATTGCCAACTGCATTAAGAAATCGGCAGTCTGGATCGGGCCCCGATCCAGATTGCCCCTGTGGCGTGTTCCTAAAGTAGTTGACAGTTGGGATTCGTCCCAAAAGAATTTTTTCACTTTTTGTTTGCTTTTTTTCTGTAAGTAACCAAATACAACTTGAGTAAACGTATGATATTAACTCACTCTGTTAATATATTGTAAAGACGTAAGTGGTATCGAGAGCATTTCAACGTCGAGACCGTACTGAAACCACAACAACTTCACGTGGGGTGAGTATACAGGGGTGGGCTACCCCTGACTTTCACTTCAACGCAGGTAACTGTATGAATTTAGTAGTACGCATTTTTGTATTATCAGGGCCGGGTTTCAACCTCGAAAATTAGGGACGCTTAGCCCCGCGATAAATTACTTACTATAATTATCGTGAAATCACGGCCAACTCCGGTGACACGTCGCTTCGCCTCTATGCGGTAGTAACATTAGGTCCATTTTCGTTGTTGCGTGATTCTGCTAACCTCAAAAATTTGTACGATAATTGACTCCACCAATCGATAAAACCGACGTGTTTAGTTTAGAATGGTCGAAAATTATTACATTTACAATTATAGTTAATTACACAGTCAGGACGAGGCGGCACATCCAATGCCTACTTATAATTAATTAACCAATTTTGAAAAATACCCCTCAAGACCGCGTCCTTAATTCAAGAGCCCCGAAACCGCCCTCATTTATTTAAATAATTTTTCAAAAACTCATAACTATAATAATAAAAAACGATCTGGTGAAACGGTTATGGTGTCAGTGCCCTTAACCACTCCTCCCATAACACCACCGCCCGCCGCTGGTCCCCCTGTAAGCCGCACTTTTTCAACAGGGCTCGAACGACTCCAAACCCGACACAAAAGAGCCCGCGCACCGATCCCGCGACTCCAGGGACCGGCGCGAGCGCAGCTCGAGGGACCGCACCGACGACTACCGAGGCCGCTACGAGAGGGACCGACGCGGTAGCCGCGACAAGGACGGCAAATACAACCACAGCCGGCGCGACAGGGACAAGGAGCGCGACCGGCGGTCGCGCGAGCGCCGGAGGAGCCGCTCGCCGAGGCGGCCCGAGCGCGAGTCGAGGCACTCACGCTCGCGCTCGAGATCGCGCGACAGGGCCCGGAAGTACGCGAAGCGGTACGACCGCGGCGCCAAGGGCGAGTCGGCGGAGAAGAACGGTGAGTGTGGGCGGGGCTAGAGCGAACCGAGAGTGACGATTGGTCGACAGATCGGCAGAAGGCGGCCGACGAGGAGAAGCGGACCAACACGAGCGAGAACGATCGCTTTTTCATGCCGGGGATCACCGGCAGGTTTCGGGATCAGATCGAGAGGAGGAAGCAGCTGTGGCAGAAGAAGGACGTGGACGTGAAGGACACTAAGAACGGGCAGAGCAAGAAGGTCTGGGAGACGACGACGTTCGCGCAGGATACGGACGGTGAGGGTGGTTGTTGTTTTTTTACGAAACGTAGTAGTCCATCTGTTGGGTGAACGGTGTATGAAATTGACCTGTGGTTGCAGGCAAAGTTGCCAGTAAGTTTAAAAGGTTGATGGGGATCAGAGGCAACACGGAGGCCAGCGGTCAAGGGGTCGACGTCCTCCGGAAACAAGAAGAGATGTTCAGTTCGATGGAGCAGCAGTACGAAGTTGCCCGAACGGCGACGCACACGATGCGGGGAGTAGGCCTAGGCTTCGGGAGTTTTCAGCGATAATTTGTTGTCGTTTAAGAAATGTGATTTGTTTTTTTAGTTATAATTTACTTTTAAGTTCGTCTTGTGTGTAGTTAGGCCACAAAATTGTTAAATTCACTTTATAATAAAACACGATTTTCGTTTAAGGACGCCACTGTGTCACCGACTCAGACCCAGTTAGTTTGGCGGAATGTTAAATTCAACGTTAGGAAAACACTCGAATTTCGTCTTTAATTGCGCAAATGTATTACATAGGGAGTAGTTGCTCAAATTCCACCAGGCGGCGCTGCTGGCACTATATCGGGTTTACTTTCTAACGAAAATGGCGGGATTCGACAGTCGAAAGTGTAGCCATCTTCACGTTCCATTCTGAAAGTACCCCTACAACATATTTTTATAAGTTTTGAACCAATCAATGATCAGAATTCGTACCACATGTGTCCACTAGGGGCTTGCAAGCTCACGTGACTACTATATTGGAACGCCGGTAGGGTCCTGGTGAGGGCGGGCTCTTGCCCCACCACCCCTCGCCCCCTCACAGTCTCTAAAGTTCCAGACAGAGAAAAAATTCTCCAGTGTCGTTCCCGTAGCTGTACACTGAGTGATCCTAAATTTTCTAACCTTATACAATATCTCCACTGGAAGCAAAATTGTTACCAAAAATCAAAATGTTTTGAAATGGATACCCAGTATACTGAAGTGGAGTGTGACTCCCTGAAGCCCATATAGAACGGGATTACGGTTACCCTAATATTTTCAGTCGTTTCTTTGTGGACATCTGACAATTCTAGCCAGGGGTGGTTTTTGTTCTGCCAGGCTCTGAGGGTTTCCTGAGGGACGAAAGGTGGGTCTGTAACGGAAAAACATTAAGGTGTTAGAATTCTCCGCCTCTTATGCGGGTTTCATAACCCCATAGCCACTTGTTGTAGTTGCACTATAGTGGACAAAGAGCAAAATTTAGCTTTTATTAATGAACAGAAGTATTTAAATTTGGAGATTAAATTCTTATACAGGAAAATAATGGAATTGAAAATATTGAAATATAATTTTTTCCTCCCTTTTGAGGAAACATTTTGCTGCGTGCTTAATTGTCGCATTCTTTCGATGTATAAACATAAACAATTGAAGTTAAGCACATACTGATGGTATATTTTTACTTCAGAGGCGAACGAAGATCCGTCTAAATAATTTAATTAAAATAAAAAAAAAATTGCGTTTAAAAGAGACCTTCTTGCGGGCGCCTAGTGTTTTTTTAAATATGTGATGTTTCGTTTTTGAGGGAGAAATCAAAATATTGTCAAAAATCTAAAAACTACAATATCGAATAGACGAAAATGGTGAAAAATGTAATATTTAAACACTCGCAAAATTTTGAAAAGTCGAGTAAGTAAAAAATCCAAAAAATAGAAAGTCGAAAAATCTAAAAATTTAAAAATCGATCTTGAAAAATTCCAAAACTTCAATAGAAAAATTGAGAAATTAAAAAATCGAGAAATTGAGAAATCGAAAAATCCAAAAATTTATAAACGACAAAAATTGAAAAATCGAAAAATTTAAATACATAAAACAAACGTCGAAAAATTGGAAACTCGAAAAATCGAAAAACTGAGGAATCGAAAAATTGAAAAAATGCGCAATCGAAACAAGAAAAAAGTGAAAAATCTAAAATTTAAAAATTCGAAAAATTGAAAATTTACAAAATCCAGAAATGAAAAAATATGAGATTTAAAAATCGAAATACCTATTGAAAAATCCCAAAACTTAAACATTGAAAATTTGAAAATCGAGAAATTGGGAAATCGAAAAATCTAAAAACGAGAAGGCGAAAAATCGAAACAAAAAAAAATTAAAATCGAAAAATTTAAATACATAAATCCCAAAACTGAAACATCGAAAGACTGAGGAATCGAGAAGTCGAAAAATCGAAAAATTGAGATATCGAAATAGCTAAAAGATCCAAAAATGAGAAAATTCAATATTGAAAAATTTAAACTTAAAAAACCCGATAAATTGAAAAATCGAAAAATGAGAAGGCAAAAAATCGAAACCACAAAAAACTGAAAAATCTAAAATTTAAATATTAGAAAAATTGGAAAATTTAAAAAATTGAAAAATCTAAAATGACAAGGCAAAAAATCGAAAGACAGAAATCGAAACAACAAAAAAAGTGAAAAATCTGAAATTTAAAAATTCGAAAAGTTGAAAATTTACAAAATCGAAAAATCAAAAAATTGAAAAATCGGTAAATATAAGATTTAAAAAATCGCAAAATTTTGAAAAATCGAATAAAATATTAAAAAAAAAACAGTCGAAAAATTTAAAAATCGGAATATGTACATATTGAAAAATCCAAAAATTTTAGACACGCCAAAAATTGAAAAATCCAAAAATTTAAATACATAAAACCCAAAACTGAAACGTGAAAAATTGAAAAATCGAGATGACGAATTATCGAAAAACTGAGAAATGAAAAATTGAAAAATCGCGAAATCCAAACATCAAAAGATCGAGAAGCCGAAAAATTGAGAAAGAGAAGTGGCTATAAATCGAAAAATGGAAAAATTCAAAACTGAAAAATTTTAACTTAAAGAAAACCGATTAACCAAAAAGTGGAAAACCGGAAAATCTAAAAACGAGAAGGCGAAAAATCGAAAAAAAAAACGTTAAATCGAAAATTGAAAAATAGAAAAATCTAAAAACGAGAAGGTGAAAAATCGAAACAAAAAAAAAAAAAAATTAAAAATCGAAAAATTTAAATACATAAATCCCAAAACTGAAACATCGAAAGACTGAGGAATGGAGAAGTCGAAAAATGGAAAAATTGAGATTTCGAAATAGCTAAAGATCGAAAAATGGGAAAATTCAATATTGAAAGATTTAAACTTAAAAAACCCGATAAACTGAAAAATCAAAAACTAAAAAATTAAGGCCGAAAAATTGAAAAATCGAAAAATGAGAAGGCAAAAAATCGAAAGACAGAAATCGAAACAACAAAAAACTGAAAAATTTAAAAATTTGAAAAATTGAAAAATTTCAAAAACTGAAAAATCTAAAAATGACAAGGCAAAAAATCGAAAGACTGAGAAATCCAAACAACAAAAAAGTGAAAAATCTGAAATTTAAAAATTCGAAAAACTGAAAATTTACAAAATCGAAAGATCAAAAAACTGAAAAATCAGTAAATACAAAATTTATAAAATCGCAAAATTTTGAAAAATCGAATAAGTAAAAAATCAAAAAAAAAAAAGTCGAAAAATCTAAAAATTTAAAAATCGGAATACATATTGAAAAATCCCAAAACTTTAACATTGAAAATTTGAAAATCGAGAAATTGGGAAATCGGAAAAATCCAAAAATTTAGACACGCCAAAAATTGAAAAATCGAAAAATTTAAATACATAAATCCCAAAACTGAAACATTGAAAAATTGAAAAATCGCGAGATGAATTGTCAAAAAACTGAGAAATGAAAAATTGAAAAATCGCGAAATCGAAACTTCAAAAGATCGAGAAGCCGAAAAATTGAGAAAGAGAAGTGGCTCTAAATCGAAAAATTCAAAACTGAAAAATTTTAACTTAAAAAAACCGATAAACCAAAAAGCGGAAAACTGGAAAATCTAAAAACGAGAAGGCGAAAAATTGAGATATCGAAATAGCTAAAGATCGAAAAATGAGAAAATTCAATATTGAAAAATTTAAACTTAAAAAACCTGATAAACTGAAACATCGAAAAACTGACAAATTAAGGCCGAAAAACTGAAAAATCGAAAAATGAGAAGGCAAAACATCGAAACAAAAAACGGAAAAATCTAAAATTTAAAAATTAGAAAAATTGGGAAATTTGAAAAACTGAAAAATCTAAAAATGACAAGGCAAAAAATCGAAAAACTGAGAAATCGAAACAACAAAAAAAGTGCAAAATCTGAAATTTAAAATTCGAAAAATTCAAAATTTACAAAATCGAGAAATCAAAAAACTGAAAAATCGGTATATAAGATTTAAAAAATCGCAAAATTTTGAAAAATCGAATAAGTAAGAAATCAAAAAAAAAACAAAAGTCAAAAAATCTAAAAATTTAAAAATCGGAATACATATTGAAAAATCCCAAAATTTTAGACACGCCAAAAATTGAAAAATCGAAAAATTTAAATACATAAATCCCAAAACTTAAACGTTGAAAAATTGAAAAATGGAGATGAATTGTCGAAAAACTGAGAAATGAAAAATTGAAAAATCGCGAAATCGAAACTTCAAAAGATCGAAAGCCGAAAAATTGAGGAAGAGAAGTAGCTCTAAATCGGAAAATGGAAAAATTCAAAAGACGGAGGAATCGAGAAGTCGAAAAATCGAAAAATTGAGATATCGAAATAGCCAAAGATCGAAAAATGAGAAAATTCAATATTGAAAAATTTAAACTTAACCCGATAAATTGAAAAATCGAAAAACTGAAAAATTAAGGCCGAAAAATTGAAAAATCCAAAAATGAGAAGGCAAAAAATCGAAAGGCAGAAATCGAAACAACAAAAAACTGAAAGATCTAAAAATGAGAAGGGAAAAAATCGAAAGACAGAAATCGAAACAACAAAAAAATGAAAAATCTGAAATTTAAAAATTCGAAAAATTGAATATTTACAAAATCGAGAAATCAAAAAAAATCGGTAAATATAACATTTCAAAAATCGAAAATTTTGAAAAATCGAATAAGTAAAAAATGTAAAAAAAAACAAAGTCGAAACAGCTAAAAATTTAAAAATCGAAATACATATTGAAAAATTCCAAAACTTGAACATTGAAAATTTTAAAATCGAAAAACTGAGAAATCGCAAAATCGAGAAATCGAAAAATCCAAAAATTTAGAAACGCCAAAAATTGAAAAATTTACATTTACATAAATCCCAAAACTAAAACGTTGAAAAATTAGAAAATCGAAAAGACGAATTACTGAAAAATTGAGACATCGAAAAATTGGGAAATCGGAGTGGCTAAAAATCGAAAAAGGGGAAAATTCAAAATTGAAAAATTTTAACCTAAAAAAACTGATCAACTAAAAAGTGGAAATTCGAAAAAGAAACGAAAAACTGAAAAATTAATTCCGAAAAATGGAAAAACCGGAAAATCTAAAAACGAGAAGGTAAACAATCGAAACAACAGAAAAGTCTAAAATGAAAAAAATTTGAAAAATTGAAAATTTAAAAAATCGAGCATTCAAAGCATGAACAAATCTAAAAACCAAAACACTAAAAAATCGAAAAATGTAAGCTTTAAAAAAATTTTAAAAAATTGAATACGTAAAAAATCAAAAAGTCGAAAAATCTAAAAATTCAAAAATCGAAATACATATTGAACAATCCCAAAACTTAAGCATTGCAAAAACGAGAAATCGGAAAGACGAAAAATCGAAAAGTCAAAAAATTAAAAAATCCATTAATCGGGAAATTGAGAAATCGAAAAATCCAAAAATTTAGAAACGCCAAAAATTGAAAAATCAAAAACATGAATTGTCGAAAAACTGAGAAATCGAAAAATTGAAAAATCACGAAATGGAAACATCAAAAGATCGAGAAGTCAAAAAATTGAGATCCAAAGATCGAAAAATGGAAAAATTCAATATTACAAAATTTAAACTTGAAAAAACCAATAAATCGAAAAATCTAAAAATGAGAAGGCAAAAATCGAAAGACAGAAAATCTAAAATTTAAAACTTCGAAAAATTGAAAATTTACAAAATCGACAAATCAGAACATCAACGAATCGAAAATCAAATAATTGAAAAATCGAATAATTAAAAAATCAAAAAAACAGTATAAAAATTTAAAAATCGAAATACATATTGAGAAATCGGAAAGACAAAAAACCGAAAAGTCGAAAAATTAAAAAAATCATTAATCGAGAAATTGAGAAATCGAAAAATCCAAAAATTTAGAAACGCTAAAAGTTGAAGAATCGCGAAATCAAAACATCAAAAAATCGAGAAATGGAAATGGGTAAAAATGGGAAAATTCAAAATTTAAAAATTGAAAAACCGGACAATCTAAACATGAGAAGGCGAAAAATCGAAAGAAAACCCCTAAATCGACAATTGAAAAATCGAAATATCGACAAACTGAAACATTAATTCCAAAAAATTGAAAAACCGAAAAATCTAAAAACGAGAATGCAAAAAATCGAAACAGCAAAAAAGTGAAAAATGTATCATTTAAAAATTCGAAAAATTGAAAATTTAAAGAATCAAGCAATCAAAATAGATTTTGAAAAATCCCAAAACAACACAGAAAATTTAAAAATCGAAGTCGAAATATTAAAAAACCATTAATCGAGAAATTTAGAAATCGCAAAAACCCAAAATTTGGAAATGTCAAAAATTGAAGAATTGGAAAATCGAAAAAATGAATTACCGAAAAACTGAGAAATCCAAAAATTGAGAAATGGAAATGGGTAAAAATCGAAAAATGAGAAAATTCAAAATTGAAAAATTTATAACTTCAAACAAAAACGATAAACCAAAAAGTGAAAAATCCGAACATCGAAAAACTGAAAAATTAATTCCGAAAAATTGAGAAATCGGAAAATCTAAACACGAGAAGGCGAAAATTCGAAAGAAAACCCCGAAATCGAAAATTGAAAAATCGAAATATTGAAAAACTAGAAAATTAAATCCCGAAAAATTGAAAAATAGAAAATTCTAAAAACGAGAAGGCAAAAAATTGAAAGATTGAGAAATTAAAACAAGAAAAAATGAGCAATCTAAAATATAAAAATTCGAGAAATTGAAAATTTTAAAAATCGAGCAATCAAAACATGCACTAATTGAAAAATCGAAAACTGTAAGGTTTAAAAAGTCGCAGTATTTTGAAAAATCGAATTAGTAAAAAATCAAAAAAACAAAGTTTCAAAATTTAAAAATCGAAAAATTGAGAAATCGAAAAGATGAATTACCGAAAAATCGAAAAACTGAAAATTTAAAGAATCGAGCAATCAAAACATCAACGAATCGAAAAATCAGAAAAATTAAAAATCGAAATACATTTTGAAAAATCCCAAAACTTCAACACAGAAAATTTCAAAATCGAAAAATTGAGAAATCGGAAAGACGAAAAATCGAAAAGTCGAAAAATTAAGAAATTCATTAATCGAGAAATTGAGAAATCGAAAAATCCAAAAATTTAGAAACGCCAAAAATTGAAGAATCGCGAAATCGAAACATCAAAAAATCGAGAAGTTGAGAAATGGAAATGGGTAAAAATGGGAAAATTCAAAATTTAAAATTGTTAACATAAAAAAAACGATAAATCACAAAGTGAAAAATCGAAACATTGAAAAGCTGAAAAATTGAAAAACCGGAAAATCCAAAAATGAGAAGCGAAAAATCGAAAAAAAAACCCTAAATCGAAAATTGAAAAATCGAAATATCGAAAAACTGAGAAATTAATTCCGAAAAATTGAAAAACCGAAAAATCTAAAAATGAGAAGGCAAAAAATCGAAACAACAAAAATGTGAAAAATGTTTAATTTAAAAATTCGAAAAATTGAAAATTTAAAGAATCGGGCAATCAAAACATCAAAGAATGAAAAAATCAGAAAATTTAAAAATCGAAATACATTTTGAAAAATCCCAAAACTTCAACACAGAAAATTTCAAAATCGAAAAATTGAGAAGTTTAGAAATCGAAAAAACCCAAAATTTGGAATTGTCCAAAATTGGAAAATTGGAAAATTACCGAAAAACTGAGAAATCGAGAAATCGAAAAATTGAGAAATGGAAATGGGTAAAAATCGAAAAATGGGAAAATTCAAAATTGAAAAATGTATAACTTAAAACAAAAAAGACAAACCAAAAACTGAAAAATCCAAACATCGAAAAACTGAAAAATTAATTCCGAAAAATTGAATAATCGGAAAATCTAAACACGAGAAGGCGAAAATTTGAAAGAGAACCCCGAAATCGAAATATTGAAAAACTAGAAAATGAAATTCCGAAAAATTGAAAAATCGAAAACTCTAAAAACGAGAAAGCAAAAAAGTGTGAGATTGAAAAATCAAAACAACAAAAAAGTTAAAAATCTAAAATAAAAAAAAATCGAGCAATCAAAACATAAACAAATTGAAAAATCGAAAAGTCGAAAAATCGAATAAGTAAAAAATCAAAAAAACAGAAAGTCTCAAAATTTAAAAATCGAAATACCGAAAAATTGAGAAACCGGAAAATCTAAAAAGGAGAGGCGAAAAATCGAAAGAAAACCGTTAAATCGAAAATTGAAAAATCGAAGTATTGAAAAACTGAGAAATTAATTCCGAAAAATCGGAAAATGTATAAACGAGAAGGCAAAAAATCGAAAGATTGAGAAATAGAAACAACAAAAAAGTGAAAAATCTAAAATTACAAATTCGGAAAATTGAAAATTTTAAAAATCGAGCAATCAAAACATCAAGAAATCGAAAAATCAAAAAATGTAAGATTTAAAAGGTAACAACATTTTGAAAAATCGAAGAAGTAAAAGTCAAAAACACGAAAAATCGAAAAATTCAAAAGTGGAAGTATTTAAAAGTCGCAAAATTTGAATACATTGAAGATAATTTTTGTACATTTCATTCCGAGGTTTCGTCTTGTTTTATTTTCGAATTATCAATATTCGTCAGTTTATTCGATTTCTCACTAAGTCAGGTTGATAAAAAAGCACCACTTTTGTTAAAAAATAATGGTTTGTACGAATGTTAAAAAAAACGGCAGTGAAACAACGAGACACTCGTGCAGCCACCTTGAGTGAAACAGCCTGTATGCGGACATTCTGTGCATTAAATCGCACGTGTATTTTTGGTTGCCTATGTAACAATCACGTTTGCTTTTCTAAAACCCACTAATAAATTGGTTTTTATTAAAACACGATCAGTGGGCTCCTCATAATTAATAAATAATTTACGATTTTGAGGCGCAATTTACCGACCGTTACTCAGCAAAACTGCATCTGACCACAATTGTGCAACGGCTAAAAATAATAAAGGTCACCTTTATCTGGCTCGTAGGCCAAAAACTTATCGAACAATTCATGATGCAGCGGCGACTTCTCTGCACTCGTGTAGGGTATAATATCCTCATGTGCGACATAATCGAGCCCCGGAATCGCATACAAACTTCTAGAGGAGTCTTGATTACCCAAGAAAGTCACAGCTTCAGTTTGAGCCCTCTGAAACTTAAATTTGTACAGTTGTCACTAAAATCTAACTAAACTCACAATATAGGGACAGTCTCTTTGATCGATGAGCACTTGGTAGAAGGTGTGCGTGCGCCCCCTCACTTCCTTCCCGACTCCGGGACTGGGCTCCAGATCCCCCGTCCGGTGCTGCGGTAAATCCCTATCATACACCCGAGCCAACCACGGAAAGAGCACCACCCCCCGGTAGCCGAACACCCGGTGCAGGATCAGCTGCCCCGTCTCATACTTTCCTGTGATTTTGGGGGCGTCCAAGCGACCCACCTCGGCCAATCTGGAAAAATTGCAAAAGTGTGACACATAACCTCACTTTTTTGACATTTCGAGGATTATCGTTTTTTGCGATGGTTTTTGCGTTGTTTCGGGATTTGGGGACTCACCTGGCGTACGAGCGACTAGGGACGGCTAAATACACGGGAATTTTCGCTATCTGGGATTTCAGTACGGCTCTTAACACTTCCATTTTTCATATTTTTTGCGCACTTGTCTCTGGTACCGGAATCATGATTAATGTCGCTGGAGTGACGTGGGAGGGAGGAAAAGTGGCCGAAATGAGGGCTACTGTGAATTTTCACCGGGATTTGTGAATTTGGCGAGCGAAATTTGCAATTGTTGTGTTTTGGTTAAATTCGCAGAGGCCGGGTTTTATGTAGTTGAAAGTGACGTAGAGGGCGCTTTTTATTATTTACTGTTGAAAATGGTGTTTTGGGTGGTTGTTTGTATGAAATAAAGATATCGGGTGGTTTGTTGAGGGTTTGTATTGTTTTGGTTTTGTTTTTTGTGTTTGGTTTATGTCTCCGACTTTTTTCGTTGCATGTAAATCCGGCCCACCCCATCTGTCATTCGTTGACGTTGACATTTCATCTGTCATCGCTTATCAAAATAATCGTATTTGCTGCATTTTTGGTGCAGTGTATACTAAACCCGGCACAAACATGCCACAATAATCAACGTCGAATAAACAAGAAAACACTCAACAATGCGTAAATAGCAAGAACGGCCCCAACAAGACTGATTCTCACCCCGCTGTAAGTTGGGTTGTGTTTTGGCAGCCCCCTTGTTGACACAGAATTGTGGATTTTTAGACCACCATGCCGGAAAACCTCGAACTCCAACAACTCGTCGACGAAGAGCCCGATCATGACGTCAAGCTCCACCCCCGGCGACTCAAATTCTGCAAGTGCCCCTACTTGGGGCTCATTCTCGCCACCTTGAGCTCGCTGTTCTTCTCTCTGTGTTCTGTGATCGTCAAGTGGATGACCGACGTGGACCCCATGGCTCTCGCCGCTTATCGGTACCTCGGGGTCCTCCTCCCAGCAATACCCATCGTGATATACCGCCAGGAGCCCGTGTTTCCGTCGGGGAAGCGCATCATGCTGCTGCTGCGCTCCTTCACAGGTACTGCGGCCCTCATGCTCAGCTTCTACGCGTTCAGACACATGCCTTTAGCGGACGCTTCAGTCATCGTCTTCTCCGTGCCTGTATTCACCGGGATCTTCGCCCGGATGTTCCTGAAGGAGCCCTGCGGCCTGTTCAACGCCTTCTCCGTCGTCCTCACGCTCATCGGGGTCGTGCTCATAACGCGCCCCCCCAGCCTCTTCGGCGCCACGGTCAACTCGCTGGGGGAGTCCGGCCAGAAGACGGAGATCTGGGGGGCGGTGGCGGCGTTCTCGGCGACGCTGTTCGGGGCCAACGCCTACGTGCTGCTGAGGGCCCTCAAGGGCATCCACTTCTCGGTGATCATGACGAATTTCGGCTCGTTCGCGCTGTGCCAATGCCTGCTGGTGACTTACTTGATCGGGGCCCTGTGTCTGCCCCCCTGCGGCCTCGACAGGTACTTGATCGTGGCGTTGGCGCTGTTCAGCTTCCTGGGGCAGATCCTGCTCACGCTGGCGCTCCAGATGGAGCAGGCGGGGCCCGTGGCGATAGCCAGGAGCAGTGATATCGTGTTCGCTTTCGTGTGGCAGGTCCTGTTTTTCAACGAGATACCGAACAGGTACTCGATAGGGGGGGCGATTCTGGTGATGAGCTCGGTCATGCTGACGGGGCTGCGGAAGTGGATACTGGCGCTGCCTCCGGACGCTAGTCTGAGGAGGAGGATGGCGCTTTTAGTTAAGTAGCTTTTTTATCAAGGGGTGAAGGTTGGTTTGATGTGATATTATTGGTTACTTTAAGGAGTCGTAGCTGGGGCATGATTGTTGTTTTTTTTTTTTACAAAAATTATTTCGGGTTAAGTATATATAGTATGACCTTGGAAGACCCTACAGCCTGGGGGATCCACTATTTTATAATTTGTTGTTATTTTTGGTTGTTTTCGTTTTATATGTTTTTTTGTTACGGGTACATACATACATGACCGGTGAAGAAGAGGGGAATCGTCGAAAATTCCGCCATGTATTCAATTATATCTCTTTGTACTTAAATTTGAAATACTTAATTTTTTGGAGTTTGACTGTTTCTTGGCGTTTTTTTATTATTATAGAAGGTGAACACCCTGTATTTTATTACTGTATCTTACTCCGTTTTTTGTCCTCATTCTTCTAACACGCCGATGTGTCTCTGAAAAAAGTACAAAATCGTATCAACTTTAAATATAGAAAATACTCATCAAAAAAGAAAGATAACAAAAAATAGAATAAGATGCAGTAATAAAATATAGGGTGTTCTATTTGAAAAAACCGAAATATCGATATTTGAAAATTGAAGATTGAAGATAGCTATACTGGGTGATTTATTTTGTCATTCTACGTTTATTGTGATGTAAGGGATGATAATTTATTATTGGAGATTTGCGTTTAGTCGTACATATTTAAAAATTCACCGCTCCGCCATTTTAAAAATGGAGGTTTGAAATTATGTTTGTCAGGGCAAGGTAACTAAAAAGTTTTATCAAAATTTAAATATGGCGGAGTTGAAAAATTTTAGCGTTTAAATATAACTGGTGATCAAAAAGTTTTCAGATTGGAGTTGGCCATGGAAATATTTGTCATGTCTTTGATTGAACTGTAACAGTCGTGAATAACCGCTTTTATTGACATGAAAGGTTATGCATGACTTTACAGTTTAATCAAAGACATGACAAATATTTCCATGGCCAACTCTAACCTGAAAACTTTTTTACAAGTGATCTATTTAAAGATTATGACCAAAGTTTAATTTTTGCATATGAAATGATATTTACTTTTACGTATTTTTATATTGTGTGTATGGGGTTTTTGTATTTTTTACAAGTCTAGTTCCAAAGTAATTTTTTTTCTAAAACCAGGTTTGTTGACAATAATTAAAAAAAAATGGTGGTGAGCTAGAAAATACAGGACGTTTAATTTGAAAAATGCCAGACAATTTAATCACCCTGTATAAATTATTTAAAATATTTTTCATTTTTTATGTTCCTGAGATCAAGGTAACTAAAAAACTATATGGCGAAGTTGAAAATTTTTATCGTTTAAATATACAAGGTGTTCCGTTTAAAAATTATGACCAAAGTTCTATTTTTTATTACGAAGCAATATGTTATCGTACTTTTATAAATTTAGGTCCTTTATAAAGCGTTTTTTGGTTAACACTTCGCGATGTTTGCGTTTTTATGTCAAAACTTGTCATTTTTAAAAATTCATAGTTCTACTATTTTTAAAATACAGGGCGTTTAAATTGTAAAATGCGAGTAAACTAACAGCTTGAAAATTTATTTAATCACTCTGTATAACTTAGGTAAAATATTCTTCAGTTTTTTATGTTCGTGAAAGCAAAGTAACTAAAAAGTTTTGTAAAAAGTCCTTTCTAAATATGGCAGAGATGAAAATTTTTAAAGTTTAAATATATATAACGTGTTTCATTTAAAAAAATATGACCAAAGTTGTATTTTTTGTGATGAAGCAATATACAGACCTCCATTTTTAAAAATAGCGAAATTGAAAAATTTCATCTTTTAATATGAAAAAAAAAAAACAGTAATTTTTAAAAATTCACAGCTCCTATACTTTAAAAATTGGACGTTTCGAATTTTCGTACCTTTTTGCAGTGGGACACTCTGTATTTTATGTATATTTATATATTTTTTAACTAGTTTGTAAGCAAAATTTCTTCTAATCTAATACCAGGTTTGGTGGACTTTTTTCTAATAATAGTTTCAAGAGCACTTTCAGGATAAGCTCGAAAATACAGGATGTTTCATTTGAAAAATGCAAGAAAACTGACAGTTTGTAAATTTAATCACTCTGTATAAGTTAAAATATTCTTTAGTTTTTTTATGTTTGTCAGAGAGAGGTAACTAAAAGTTTTCTCAAAACTCCAGGCCTCCATTTTTAAAAATGGCGTAGTTGAAAAATTGCAGCGTTTAAATATAACGGGTGATCAAAAAGTTTTCAGACTGGAGTTGGCCATGGAAATATTCGTCATGTCTTTGATTAAACTGTAACAGTCATGCAAAACCGTTTTTATTGACATGAAAGGTTATGCATGACTTTTACAGTCATGCAAAACCATTTGTCATACAAAGACATGACAAATATTTCCATGGCCAATTTTAACCTGAAAACTTTTTTACAAGTGATCTATTTAAAGATTATGACCAAAGTTTAACTTTTGCATATGAAATGATATTTACTTTTATGTATTTTTAGATTGTGTATACGGTTTTTTTTTTTTTGTATTTGTATTTTTATGGGGAAAACCGACATTTTTAAAAATTCACAGCTCCGCCATTTTTAACAATGAAGATTTGGAATTTTGCGTAAGACTTGTTGGTGCTCCTGACAATAATTTAAAACTAAAAATTGGCGATGAGGTCGAAAATACAGGACGTTTAGTTTGAAAAATACGAGACAATTTAATCACCCTGTATAAATTATTTAAAATATTCTTTTTTTTATGTTCGTGAGAGCAAGGTAACTGAAAAGTTTTATAAAAATTCCTTTTTAAATATAGCGGAGTTGAAAATTTTTAACGTTTAATATACAAGGTGTTCCGTTTAAAAATTATGACCAAAGTTCGATTTTTTATTATGAAGCAATATATTATTATACTTTTATAAAGCGTTTTTTGATTAACACTTCACGATATTTGCGTTTTTATGGCAAAAATTGTCGTTTTTTAAAAATTCACAGTTCTACTATTTTTGAAAATCGAGGTTTGAAATTTTGCCTAAAACTTGCTGGCGCCGTAAGACAACGTTTAACCCTGTTAATACTTGTATTGTTACAACCGCAAACTGTCATTTTCTTATCCTTTTCTACTCGGACACACTGTATTTTATAATTTCTTTTTTTGAGCTAACCCCAAAGTCAAATTTCTTCTAAAACCAGAATTCGGGTTTCTCCTGACAGTAATTAAAAAAAATGTCGATGAGCTCCAACATACAGGGCGTTCAATTTGTAAAATGCGAGGAAAGTGACAGTTTGTAAATCACCCTGTATAAATTAGATAAAATATTCTTCGATTTTTTATGTTCATGAAAGCAAGGAAACTAAAAAGTTTTAGAAAAATTCCGTTGTAAATATGTATGGGAGAGTTGAAAATTTTAAAAAAGTTTAAATATACAAGGTGTTCCATTAAAAAATTATATACAAAGTTGGGTTTTTTTGTATTTTTAATATGAAACAATACATAATATTATATATTTAGATACTTTATAAAGGCTTTTTTGTTTTTTTTTTGGCCAACAGTTTTCACGATATTTGCAAAAAACAGTAATTTTTAAAAAATCACAGCTCGACTATTTTAAAAATTGGAGGTTTCAAATTTTGCGCAAAACTTGTTGGCGCCTTAATACATTGTTTCAGCATACTAATACAGAATGATTAAATTCCCAAATTGTCATTTTCGTACCTTTTTTTGGTGGGACACTCTGTATTTTACATATATTTATATATTTCTTATTTAGTTTCTAAGCAAAATTTCTTCCAATACCAGGTTTGGTGGACTTTTCTCTAATAAAAGAATAATTTCAAAAGCACTGTCACGGTAGGCTCGAAATACAGGGTGTTTCACCTGAAAAATGCAAAAAACTGACAGTTTGTAACTTTAATCACTCTGTATAAGTTAAAATATTCTTCTTTTTTTTTTCGTTTGTCAAAGCAAGGTAACTAAAAGTTTTCTCAAAACTCCAGGGCACCATTTTTTAAAATGGCGGAGTTGAAAAATTTCGGTGTTTGAATATACCAAAGTTCCATTTAAAGATTATTACCAAAATTGTACTTTTTAATATGAAACAATACATAGTTTTATATATTTCGATCTCTTATAGAGTTTTTTATTTTTTTTATTATTATGGAAAAAATAGTCAGTTTTAAAAATTCACAGTTCTACCATTTTGAAAATGGAGGTTTGAAATTTTGCGCAAGACTTGTTGATGCCTTAATACATTGTTTAATCACCCTGTATTAATATACAGGGTGATTAAATTCGCAAACTGCCACTTTCGTACCGTAGGACACCCTGTATTTTATAATTCCTTGGAAGTAGTCTCCAAAGAAATAAGAGGGTGTTCCATTTAGAAAGTGGAAGAAAACTGTTAGTTTTGTAAATTTAATCACCCTGTATAAGTTAAAATACTCTTCAGTTTTTTAAGTTTGTCAAAGAGAAATAACTATAAGTTTTTTTAAAACTCCAGACCTCCATTTTTAAAAATGGCGGAGTAGAAAAATGTCAGCATGTAAATATACAAAGGGTTCCATTTAAAAATTATGACCAAAGTTGTATTTTTTATTATGAAACAATATATACTTTTATTTGTTTTTTTATATACTTACACGATATTTGTGTCTATCGGAAAAATTGTTATTTTCAAAAATCACAACTCCGCCATTTTTAAAAATGGAGGTCTGGAATTTTGCGCAAAACTTGTGGTGCCTTAGTGCAGTGTTAGGCTTATTAATACAGGATGATTAAATTTACAAACTGCCATTTTCTTGCCCTTTTTTAATTGGACACCCTGTATTTTATAATTTCCTGGAAGGAAGTAGTCCCGAAGTAAAATATCTTCTAATACCAGGAACTTTCAAAAAATCCTTTGCGATAAGGTCGAAAATACAGCTGTTCCATTTGAAAAATGCAAGAAAACTGACAGTTCGTAAATTTAATCACCCTGTATAAACAAGTTAGAATACTCTTCAGTTTTTTATGTGTATTGGAGCGAGGTAACTAAAAGTTTTCTCAAAACTCCAGATCCATTTTTAAAATGACGGAATCGAAAAATTTCAACGTTTAAATATAACGGGTGATCAAAAAGTTTTTAGATTAAAGTTTGCCATGTCTTTGATTAAAATGCAAATGTCAAAAATCCAAATTATTGAAATACGGATGAGGTTGCCCATGACTTTTGCAGTTTAATCAAAGACATGACAAACATTTCCATGGCTAACTCTAATCCAAAAACTTTTTGATTACTCGCTACAAAGGGTTCCAATTAAAGATTATGAACAAAATTATATTTTTTAATATGAAACAATATATTAGTTTTTTATATTTAGATCCTTTATAAAGGGTGATTACGTTCGAAGACTGTCATTTTTTAATGGGACACATGTCTGTATTTTATAATTTCTTGGAAGTAGTCTCCAAATAAAGTATCTTCTAATACCAGGTGGTTTCAAAAAAGCTTTAGCGATACGCCCGAAAATACAGGGTGTTCCGTTTGAAAAGTGCAAGAAAACTTATAATTTGTAAATTTAATCACCGTGTATAAGTTAAAATATTCTTCTTTTTTTGTGTTTGTCGGAGCGAGGTAGATAAAGTTTTCACAAAACTCCAGATCTCCATTTTTAAAAATGGCGGAATTGAAAAATTTCACCGTTTAAATATACAAACGGTTCCATTTAAAGATTATGACCAAAATTTTGCGCAAAACTCGTTATGTCTTAGTACAGTGTTTACGGTTATTTATACAGGGTGTTCCATTTGAAAAATGCAATAAACTGACAATTTGTAAATTTGATCACCCTCTATAAATAAGTTAAAATACTCTTCAGTTTTTTATTATGACCAAAGTTGTATTTTTTATTACGAAACAATATTTAGTTTTAAATATTTAGATTTTTTATGGAAAAATTAGCCATCTTTAAAAATTCACAACCCACCATTTTTAAAAATGGAGGTTTTGAATTTTGCGCAAAACTTGTTGGAAACCATAATATAGTATTTAAATTTATTAATACAGGGTGATCAAATTTGCAAACTCACATTTTCTTACCCTTGTATTTTATAAAATTTGTTTTAAAGTGATAATTTAATTAAAATATGTGTGTGTGCAATTTATTTTTTGGTTAAAAAGTGTTTCAAATTTATCAAAAAGGTAACCAAAAATTAGCAATATAAGCAATTACCAAAGTGTGAAAAAAATATTTTCGTGTATTTTTAGTAGTAATTTGGTTTTTATGTCTGTGATAGTGTTTTGAAAAGAATATTTCGGAAAGCAAAAACCATAAATAAAACGTCGAATATGTTTTTTCCGCATTCGTGAAGTACCATTCGTAGTATTTTTAAGACTATACCAAAGATTTGTTTCAAGCTTTATTTGTCTGCCCCAGTACGACTTCGCCCCCAGACAGTATTACCAAAAACGACTTTAGTTATAATTTTTCGAGTGAACTTGTTCGTCTCTGTATTTTTTTCCGGCCTCATTGCCTTCTACCACGCCCGAAAAAAATCCAGCGACCCCAGCAGTTACTTTAGTAACTCCATAATATTCGACACTAAGCTTAGACGGCAGCGCACAATGCTTGTTCAGGTCCGAGACCACAAAAAATAATTTGGATGTTGTAGCAGCTCAAGTTTTCTTCCCAATCATGAGAATCTCGATCCTTTGTCGAATCGAACGGAATTCTTGCACGCCTCGACAAAGAACCGTCAATAGTTACCTTTAAGTTTTTAGCCGATATTTTTATAATCCTAGCATAAAATGTGATAAATTTCTCTTCTCGTCTCTTGGGGATTGTGTACAAAAAGTTCGATCGGCGAGAGTGCAGTCCTAGTTTTTGCAGCTAATAATAAGAAGGACCAATTTGATATTGGACATGTTTTCTTTTTTGAGTTAATAAAACTGTACGAAGTAGTGGTGGTTTTATTGCTTCCTTGCAAATTTCAGGTGTGCTTCCGGTGAAAAAATTCGGCCGGGTGGACCTGGAGAGGAGTGGGTTTGGGGCTGGGTGGGGCGGCGGACGAGGCGGAGGTGTGGGTCTGGGCGGCTGGAAGGTCTTTGTCGGTGTTTGAAAATGGTGTTGCTTTTTTGTGACGGTTTTTATTTTGTTAGTATTTTCATTCAGCTTTGGGGTCATTAATTTCGTGAGGAATTTCAGGTAGCGTGTTGCGGCGGCTCGAATTAATTGTCTTCGGAAGGGAGGGCCAGATGATGTTTTAATGAAACGAGAGACCAATATGGGGAATTTGAAAAAAATGATCGGTTTTTTGGGGCTCGGGGTACAGGTGATGGCGAGAAATGAATTATTCATTGTTTTAGCGATGTAATTTCCTGGAGAGGCAGGCTCGTAACGATGACATTTTGGTGTAAAAAAAAAACCAGCAGGACATGGAATTGGCCTGAATTTTCTTCGCTCCGTAAGCATAATTTTTAGAGTAACTTAATACAGTTCGGTATTAATTCATATTTTATTTTTGGAATTCGGGGTGACGTTGCCAAGTTATTCCATTTTTTTAACGTCTTGTATGATCAAAGCACACTACATTGTATTCTAGTCTTTTCTATTATCGTCATCACAGATTAATTTTGATTGGCTATTTACTAGGATGAGCTTAAATTGTGTGCGAAATTTCATAGTAATTGGTTCTCTAGGTTCTAAAATAAATGGTTCAAATGGGTCCAATAGACTGCAAATTGAAGTCAAATTGTACATTGTGAAAAATTTTTCCAAAAAAAAAACCGTTAAAAACTGGGTTCAATCAACAGAGAATTGGTGCCAATTGTGGATGATTTTTAGCTAATTATGAATCCGAAATCTCCGTCAGGGCATTTATTCAAATGAACGTGAAAAGTGAATTTACAATTCCCGAAATTTTTCCAAAAAAAATAGTCAAAACGGGTTCAATCAACTGAAAACTGGTGCCAAATTATAGATAATCTTCCGTGAATTACAAATCCGAAATCGCCGTCATAATATTTATTCAAAAAAACGTGAAAATTAATTTTACAATTTTCAAAATTTTTCCTAAAAAAAGGTTTAAAATGGCTTCAATCGACAGAGAATTGGGTCAAATAGCAGATTATTTTCCACTAATCACGCATCCAAAATCGCAGTCACGACATCTACTCAAATAAACGTGAAAAGTGAGTTTACAATTTTCAAAATTTTTCCAAAAAATGGTTAAAATGGCTTCAATCAACTGAGAATTGGTGTCAAATGGAAGACAATTTTCCGCTAATTACGAACACGAGATCGCCGTCAAGACATCTGTTCGAATCAACGTGAAAAGTAAGTTTGCAATTTTCAAAATTTGTCAAAAAAAAGGTTAAAATGGTTTCAATAGACTAAAAATTGATGTCAAATTATCGATAATCTTCAGCCGACTACAAATCCGAAATCGCCCTTATGACATCTATTCAAATAAACTTGAAAAGTAAGTTTACAATTTTCAAAATTTTTCCAAAAAACCTGTTAAAATGTGTTCAATCGACTGAAAATTGATGTCAAATTGTCGATAATCTTACAAATCCGACACCGCCGTTATGACATATGTTCAAGTAAACGTGACAAGTATGTTTACAATTTTCAAAATTTTTCCAAAAAAATGGTTAAAATGGATTCAATCAACTGAAAATCGGTGCTAAATTATAGAAAATCTTCCGTCAATTCCAAACCCGAAATCCTCGTCAGGATATTTATTCAAATAAACGTCGGAAATAAGTTTAAAATTTTCAAAATTTGTCCAAAAAATACTTGAAATGGGTACAATAGACTGGAAATTAATGTCAAATTGTGGCTAATCTTCAGTCAGTTACCTCGCCACGATATCTATTGAAATAAACGTGAAAAGTGGTTTTACAATTTTCAAAATTTGTCCAAAAAATAGTTAAAATGGCTTGAATTGACTGAGAATTGGTATCAAATTATAGATTATTTTCTGTTAATCACGAATTTGAAATAGCGGTCACGACACCTATTCAAATAAACGTGAAAAGTGGGTTTACAATTTTTAAAATTTTTCCAAAAAATGGTTAAAAGGGGTTTAATCTAGTAAAAATTGGTATGAAATTGTAGAGTATTTTTCGCTAATCACAAATTCAAAATCGCGGTCACGATATCTACTCAAGTAAATGTGAAAAGAGAGTTTACAGTTTTCAAAATTTCTCCAAAAAATACTTAAAATGGGTTCAATAGACTAAAAATTAATGTCAGATTGAGGATAATCTTCACCCAGTTACAAATCCGAGATCCCCGTCACGATATCTATTGAAATAAACGTGAAAAGTGAGTTTACATTTTTCAAAATTTTTCCAAAAAATGGCTAAAATGGCTTCAATAGATTGACAATTGGTGTCAAAATGTAGATTATTTTTTGCTAATCACGAGTTCGAAATAGCGGTCACGACATTTATTCAAATAAACATGGAAAGAGTCTACAATTTTCAAAATTTCTCCGAAAAAAAAATGCTTAAAATGGGTTCAATAGACTGAAAATTAATGTTAAATTGTCGATGATCTTCAGCCAATTACAAATCCGATATCGCCATTACGATATTTGTTCAAATAAGCGTGAAAAATAAGTTTATAATTTTCAAAATTTTTCCGAAAAAATTGTCAAAATGGGTTCAATCAATCGAAACTTCATGTCAAATCCGAAATCGTCGTCAAGATATTTTATTCAATAAACGTGAAAAGTGAATTTACAAATTTCAAAATTTGTCAAAAAAATATGGTTAAAATGGGTTCAACAGACTGAAAATTAATGTCAAATTGTCGATAATCTTCAGCCAATTACAAATCCGAAATCATTGTCAGTACATCTATTCAAATAAACGTGAAAAGTTAATTTACAATTTTTGAAAATTTTTCAAAAAAAATGGTTAGAATGGGTTCAATGGACTAAAAATTGATGTCAAATTGTCGATAATCTTCAGCCAATTACAAATCCGATCTCGCCATTACGATATCTGTTCAAATAAGCGTGAAAAGCAAGTTCACAATTTTCAAAATTTTTCCGAAAAATGGTTAAAATGGATTCAATCAACTGAAAATCGGTGCCAAATTATAGACGATCTTCCGTCAATTCCAAATCCGAAATCCACGTCGCGATATTTATTCAAATAAACGTCGAAAACAAGTTTAAAATTATTAATTAATTTAATTAATTTAAAAATACTTAAAACGGGTCCGATAGATTCGAAATTAATGTCAAATTGTGGATAATTTTCAGTCAGTTACAAATCAGAATTCGAAATAGCGGTCACGACACCTATTCAAATAAACATGAAAGGTGGGTTTACAATTTTCAAAATTTTTCCAAAAAAAAAAATATTAAAATGGGTTCAATAGACTCAAAATTAATGTCAAATTGTCGATAATCTTCAGCCAATTACAAATCCGAAATCATTGTCAGCACATCTATTCAAATAAACGTGAAAAGTTAATTTACAATTTTTAAAATGTTTCCAAAAATGATTAAAATGGCGTCAATAGACTTAAAATTGATGGCAAATTGTCGATAATCTTCAGCCAATTATAAATCCGATCTCGCCATTACGAGATCTGCTCAAATAAGCGTGAAAAATAAGTTTATGATTGTCAAAATTTTTCAAAAAAAACAATTATTTAAACGGGCCCAATCGACTCAAAATTGAAGTCAAATTGAAGACAATTTTCCGCTAATTACAAACACGAGATCGCCCGCCGTCAAGACATCTGTTCGAATCAACGTGAAAAATGAATTTACAATTTTCAAAATTTTTCCAAAAAAAAACTTAAAAATGGGTTCAATCAACTGAAACTTGGGCCAAGTTATAGATAATCTTCAGTCGATTACAAATCCGAAATCGCCGTTATGACACTTATTCAAATAAACGTGAAAAGTAAGTTTACAATTTTCAAAATTTTTCCAAAAAAATGCTTAAAATCGGCTCAATCTACTCAAAATTTTGTCACAAATTGAAGACAATTTTCTGTTAATTACGAACACGAAAACACCGTCAAGATATCTATTCAGATAAACGTCAAAACGGAGTTTACAATTTTCAAAATTTTTCCCAAAAATGGTCAACATGGGCTCAATCGACTGAAAATTGGTATCAAATTCAAGACAATTTTCCTCTAATTGCGAACACTAATTCGCCGTCAAGACATCTACTCAAATAAACGCGAAAAGTGAATTTACGGTTTTCAAAATTTGTCCAAAAAAATGATTAAAATGTGTTCAACAGACTGAAAATTGATGTCAAATTGTCGATAATCTTCAGCCGATTACAAATTCGAAATTGCCGCTATGACATATATTCAAGTAAACGTGAAAAGTATGTTTACAATTTTCAAAATTTTTCCAAAGAAATTGTTAAAATTGACTCAAAATTGATGTCAAGTTGATGACAATTTTAAGCTAATTATGAATACGAGATCGCCGTTAAGATCTCAGTTCGAATAAACGTGAAAAGTGAATTTACAATTTTCAAAATTTTTCCAAAAAAATGGTTAAAATGGACCCAATCGACTCAAATTTGATACCAAGTTCAAGACAATTTTCCTCTAATTACGAACACTAAATCGCCGTCAAGACATCTACTCAAATAAACGCGAAAAGTAAATTTACAGTTTTCAAAATTTGTCCAAAAAAATGATTAAAATGTGTTCAACAGACTGAAAATTGATGTGAAATTGTCGATAATCTTCAGCCGATTACAAATTCGAAATCGCCGTTATGACATATATTCAAGTAAACCTGAAAAGTATGTTCACAATTTTCAAAATTTTTCCAAAGAAATTGTTAAAATTGACTGAAAATTGATGTCAAGTTGAAGACAATTTTAAGCTAATTACGAACACGAGGTCGCCGTCAAGATCTCAGTTCGAATAAACGAGAAAAGTGAATTTACAATTTTCAAAATTTAAA